AATTTTTAATTTATATTTAATATTTATCAATATTATTAATATTTATTTATAATTAATAGTAATAAACAATAATTAATATTAAAAGAGGTTATAATTGGAAAAAGTGACAATAAGCTACTCAAACGCTACTTTAAGTAATGTTTCAATAAACTAACTTATATGTATCTAAATATATACCCAAATAATAAGCTAACTTATTTTTACTAAATAATTTTTTAAATATAAAATTGAATTCAATAACTTTGGTTATTTTAATATTTTATTTTTAATTCTCGGTGATTTCTTAGTTTTCTTTGATTATTTAATGGAATTTATAATTTTTGTTGATTTTTTTATATATCTTTGGAAAAAAAATTAATTTTTAGTGTTCGTGTTTATAACGACGATAAATGTACAAAACGTTCTATTTGGTGTGTGTTTTTTAAATGATCTAAATGGTTGATTGGTTCTATATGAAATATTAGGGGTGGCAAAAAATGATCTAATCCGCTAATCAAATCCGAATCCAACCCAAAATTAGCAGGTTGGGTTGAGATTTTCAACCAATTTAAATAAATGGGTCAAGCCGTCTAACCCATTTAAATAAATGGGTTGGGTTGGGTTGAATTTTTGACTTGTTTTCAACTTATTAAAATATTATCTTAATATTGTATCTAGTATTCTAATTTTTAATTTTGTTTTATTCTTAATTAAAAATCCTACCGTCGTGAGATTAAACTCCAAATTCCAATCGCCTCCGTTACTCTTAATCATCATGAAACCCTAAGAAAACCTTTTAGTCTATTACTTCATTATCGCCTCCAAAGTCCAATCCAACTTATTTTGAACAATATATTTGTTGTGGTTGTGTTTTATTCAAACTTTGAACAATTTATTTGTATTTGTGGTTGTGTTTTATTAAAAAAAATAGTCTAGTCCTTTTTTTTATTTAAAATTAAATGGGTCAACTCAGGTTCAACCCATTTATTTAACAAGTTGAGTTAAGAAAATCGTAAACAGGTCAACCTGCTGTCAACCCATTTAGGTAACAGGTTGGGCTGGGCTGGAAAATCTCAACTCATTTAATTAAATGGGCTGAGTTGAGATTTTCAACCTATTTAATAAATAGGTTGAACCCGAACCCAACTCAACCTGATCCATTGTGACCCCTATGAAATATAATGTCTCTAACTATAAAGCTTAAATCAGTTTCTTCTAACTATAAAGCTTAAATCAATTTATTATTAAACATATGTAGTAAAAATTAATATGATAATTAGCATAATTAAAAAAAAGTAAGGGCCATATTTATTTATCGTACAGGGCCTCCAAAAATGAAATGTCAGGGTCGGCCCTGCAATAATAAATTGTAAATTATAAGAACAAATGTAACAACAAACTACAAATCATATGAATGGAAAAACACAATTTCCAAACCACAAGGAGAAATATCATAACTTTTAACAAACCAGAGGGACTAAAAACACAACTTGCTCTTTATATTTGAAATAATAATAGTTATATTTACAATTAGGGATGTTAGTGAGCTTGAGTAAAATGTTATTCGAGCTCGACTTGAGTAAATATATCATGCTCGTATTCGAATATTTTTTTCAAAACAGTGTTCAAAACTGGAGCTCAGATGTTTTATCAAAGCTTGAGCTCGAACTCGATTCATAATTTTTAGTCAGACATTATGAAATAAAATTTAAAACTTTATTATGTTCATTAGAGGGTCAAAACACAACAAAATTTGGTTTAATTTTTCTTCTCAAATAATATAACAAAAGTTTCATAATTTTTTTATTTTGTACTCATTTTGACAGATAATTAATATTTTTAAACATATAATTACCTTAATCCCATTTACAAAAGAGTAATGGCAAAGTGGACAATATATACTTGGCATTTACGTCACCAAATTTCATATTAAATATAAAAAAGTTGAAACTTCGTTGCATTAATTGAGAAAGTGTTAAAGTTCGATATCTTGTATAAACTTTTTTTTCAAAACTTCGTTACATTATAGGAATTGAAATAAAACTAAAAAGACCAAATTATCCCTCACGGACAATTTTTAATGATGTTAAAGAAAGAGACTACCAAAAACCAAAATGTAAATATAGCGATTTTTCCTAGCTATACTTCATGAACCGGGGAATTAGTCGAGGACCTTGAGGTGAAAATAAACTGGTCTGAACGTCTATGGTTAAAAAAAGGAACTAAACTTAAATCTCATTTGTTTTGATTCGTTCCATCTATTTCAATAACACAAAAAATATATATTATTGTTTTAATTAATGTTTTGATGTTATAGCCACAAATAAAATTTAAATATAATATAATAACGTCTTGTCGGATTCTACCAAATATTCTGTTTCAAATAGCAAAACATTTATCAAATTGGACTTGTTATTATCTTTTTATAATATAAAACAAAAAAAATTGTTATAATATTAAACCAACTTCGTATTTGCCTCTCTTATTATTTTTCAAATTTTCAACAAACGAGGTTTATCAATTGATAAACTTTAATTGATCCTTACCAAATAAATCCTTACCTCTCTCAATTAATGTATTATAATAGAATGTAAATGTGTTAAACACCGTTAATGACATATTTTCGTTTAAATAAATGTTAACTATATAATTTAGATGTAAATTTCATAATGATGATGAATAAATAGCGAAATTGTATAAAATTTATCTATAAACTTAATACTACGATTTACCAAAGGGTCTTTGGTCTAGTGGTATGTGAGTCTTTGAAGGTGAGGAGGGTGTATAAGTTTATTTGTTCTATTTGTCGTATATAAATATTATATACTTAAAAAAAACTTAATATTGTAATTTTTAATGAGTAAAATAAACAATTTAAATAAATTCAAGCGTATATAATTTTACAGAAACACACAATCTTATTTATTCAGAATTTAGACTTTAACACCACCTCTTATAAATCAGAAGTGAAATAAGACTTCAGACTGTAACATCTTTTAAAAAACAAACGTCACATAAATTCAAATCAATAATTGCTAACAGAGAATACTATTTGCAACCTATTTTATATCATAATAAAGTTAATTATATATTAAAAATGTAAGAAAACATATATTGATATTGATATTGATATTGATATATATGAAAAAGAAATTCATAACTAAAAGTGTATTTAACAACATATATCAATATCATTTTTAGACGTCACAAATTGCTTTAAAACATATTTTAATGTAGGATTTGGAGCAACACAAATAGAAAAGTTAATTAAAAAACAATTTTATATTATAAAATTACTCTACAACAAATGGTGGCGACCAAACCAAACATTCATTCACCAATTTCTTTCTCTCTTGTTCGTCTCCCCACATAACCCTAAAACCCCAAATTCAATGCAACAGTCCCCATCTCCAGAATCATACCCTCCATGTTTTCGTCAAAATCACCTCTCAAATCAAATCCACAGCAATCACGTTGCAGAAATCAATCACGATCGGGAAGATCCACTTCCGGTGATAGATCTCGACCGTATTGATCTTCGGAAACTGAATGAAGCTTGTACAGACTGGGGAATATTCCGGCTGATCAACCATGGAATTCCGTCGAGTCTCCTATCGGAACTCCATGAACATACTGTTAGGGTTTTTGATCTCGGATATGAATCGAAACGAAACCTGTTTTCATCAATCCCTACATCTTCCATATCGTATTTCTGGGGTACCCCTGCCCTAACTCCTGCTGGGGATGCCCTCTATAAGCCCAATACTCATCATGAAAAGGATGATTCCAAGAACTATAACTGGGTTGAAGGTTTGAATGTTCCATTGGGTCCATCTTCACAGATTCAACTTCATCAACACCCCTTGCTTCATGATTTCAGGTTAGTTTTGTCATTTTTCTCGGGAAATAATTACCATTCTCACTTATCTTACCCGACAACATTCTTAATCATTAAAATAGATCTTTATAAAGATCTTTTTATTCAGTTAAGAATTTTAAGATTCTCCAACAGACAAATATTACCAATGATGTCTAAATTTTCGAATCTTCAAAGTCAAAATATAACACCAAATGGGCGCAAAGTGGAAGTAACAACAAATCAACAATATATTAAAATTTTGTAATTTTATGCAAAATAAAATATTTTAATCGATTTCTGTATTTTAATGGCTGTATTGTATAACAATATGATGTCTAAATCTATGTTATATTGTTAGAAGGATACTAACGTAATACAGTGAAATACATTTCGATTTTAATATTTTATTTTATTTTTTGTCTCTGTCGATATGATTTTACATGATTTTTGGAAAACAATAATGTTTTTATTTTTGAATAAAATATAAATTTAAATATATTATAAAACTTTTAAAAAAAATATTGATATTAATATCAAATTAACTATTTAAAAATTTTCATTTTTTGTGTAATTTTTCTTAATTCAATTTTTTATTACAATCTAATTTATGTTTAATGATGAAGTAATTTATTTCTGATTTAATAATTAAGTATTCTGATAGAAATCAATGATTATCCTAATCTATACTTTACTATCTTATAAAGTATTTGGCTAAAACTTTTAAACCCGTTCATCCATATCCGATTTCATCTCATATCTAAATTCGTGTAACTAACTGCAGATAAACACAATCAAATACAAGATAAACATCTCATTTTAAATATAAAAAATCTAAAATATAATTAGTATAACCATTAAATTCTAACAGAATACTTAATTATTATTTTTATAATATTAAACCAAAA